AGGCTAGCAAAAGTCATTGCCTTGTCATCATGAACTTCACTCCATAGGACGCACCGTCGCCTATCTTTACCCCCTTCTGATTCCTTGGTTAATGTGTATGAAGTGCTGCTGCCACACTCTGCGTCGACATTTCAGTACAAACGCGCCCACATTTTTGCAATGACGAGCCACACGGGTGCGACTCGAGGGCCACCATTTTTACCCATAACAAGTAAGGAAAGGGAATGGGGAAGGGTAATTAGTGACCCATTTGATGGATAGTAAGAGTCCAGCATAACTGTAAGCTTTCTGAAGATACGCACGAACATACATAGGAAAAACTGTGACGGACACCTGTGCTTTTAGAGGGCTGAAGAAGAATTTTCCTCATTTCACTCTTGGGACTGGATTACCCAATCATAGTTTGGTAACCTCAGACAAAATGCTCTAATTGAAAATTGAAGCGCACATTTGAAGCTGTTGAGCAACTTCAATAGTCGCTCTCTAAACAGGCGACGTTAGAAGATTATGCCACGGTAACATGGCAAAAGGTACAAGTTCAGAACTTGTTTGAGCTCGACGGCGATGGACCACTTCGTGTTCTGAAGACGGTGAGGGCAGTAAACGGGGTGTTCCTGGTTATGGAAGTACATTCCAGGAACATTTTGCCCTGGGACTTCAATCAACGGCGAAACACTGAACAACGGAAACTTTGCTGAAGCGTCCCATGAGCATAAAGTCCCTTCACTGCTCTTTCGTAATTGGCCCTCGTCCCTTATATTTAACACGTTGACGACAACGCGCGTTTTGGGTTTTTGCACGCCGCGTGGGACCACGGCGATTTTGCAGGCGCCGCCGCCTCACATCAAATCCGTGAATTTTGAGCTTTAAATACCCAAAACTCGGATGCAACAAAATGTTTTTATGATATTCGATGTGTCAAACTTATCAGAAGGGACAACTGTAAAAAATCGGTCGAATTGACGTTTTCTGGCGATGAAAGGCAAGTTTCAGTTGCTTTTGCTGCAGTGAACCTCAGAATTATTTTTGACGCGGTTGCTCTACTAAAAACATATGTCTTGCTATATGTGTGGGTCTGTACTTACTTCTACTGCTCTTTTTTATGACCAAGATTATCAGAATATAAAGGAAACTAGGAATGAACAACTTGGGAAATTCGTAGGGCTTTAGAAAACCTTCGCTAAAAAGGAGCATATTCAACCATTCAGTGAACCTCGCCGTGTCTAGTTTATATTATGGTGTTAGTCTATGGAATAGATGCAAAAAAAATAGGAAAAAGTATAGCGCATGCGCAAAAAAATAAACTCGAAAAAGCTTGAAAACTCAAAAAGCACATTGTATAAGAACCTTAAAAAAATTCAAAATACATGCCACCACGAATTTACAAAAACCTCCGAAAAAAAACTATTTGAAAAGTTCGAATTCAGCTGATTCTTCAACCGAGACAAGCATGCAAATCAAGTGTTGAGGAGTCAGAAAATTATGCGCCTACCATGAAAATGATTATGAATTTGCGATTAATTAGTAGATACAATCAATAAATTAAACACTTTGAAATGCATTACTGAAGCGCTTAGTAGCACAATAGACTTATTACAAAATGTAAGCGATAACTCCACAAAAACTCAAAACGTAAGGCAAATAACAAGAAATTCAAGTGAAAAACTGAAACATAAAAACTGATATGAAATGTCAAAACTGCAAGCGTATAAGACTATCCTTCGAAAAAAGGAAAGGCAATTCAAGCTATGATAAAGTAACAAACAGCTAAACCAAACTTTGAAGCAGCACCTGTGAATACTCAAAAGAAAGATCCCAGGAAATATCCTTCCCATGTAGATTGAAAATGAATTTTCATCAAGAAATACCCCATATAACCGCTTAACTTTCTACAAAAAAAAACCCAGACCGAAATGGACACAGCACAGATGCTGCCGCTATAAATAGTTTGGGCAAATGTTGCAGCTGACTATGGGTGGCATCAAGAAACTTGTTTGTGTGTAGGAAAGAGAACGAAATCAAGAAGAAAGTCTTAAACAAATTATTTTTGAAGAGCTAGCGCACACAAAAGCAGTTCAGCGATTCTACTTCTCTTTCCGAAAGCCAACAAGTACCTTGCTTGAACCTTATCATGACAAACTCTTGAGGTGTCCTTTTCACAGTTCCCACCTCAATACATCATGAAGGAAGAAGTTTCAGAGACTATTCAGAAGGGCACTTCCAGTTTTTTTTTTCACATCAAGCATGCACATTAAAACGACATATGAACGCAATAAAAACAAAGCCTATTTCAGTCAACTCCAAACATTACCATTTAGACCGTGTTGTGATGATAAGCAGTGGAGTAGAACGAAATTGATTATCATAAATGCACTGATTTGAGCGTATTCATGCCGCCGAACTTCAGATCAATCCACTCAGAAGAGACCGCATTGGCGTAGATTCTCACGAATAATAATATCCGTGACGGCATCGAACACAAATCGAATGTTATTGGTGTCCGTAGCGCACGTGAAATGTGTGTAAATCTCTTTTTGACCGTCTCTTCGCTTATTCATATTCTCGAACTGCAGCTGCATGTAAGCGGCTGCTTCTTCATAAGAATTTGAACCTGAAACGAGAGGAACTTATTCAGTTCTGCATTGTAGGAGATAAACATATATAACCAAGGGTAGTGCAATACGAACAGCTTCAATTTTAGAAGGGATCCACTTTCGGAAAGTGCAACCATGTTCAGTAAAGGGACGAACTATTCGTCAACGTTATGATTCCCAGACTCGAACATGGACGCATTTTGTTCTTAAAGGAGAAGGCAAGAAATCAATCTCTAAAATAGGCCATAGAAGGGATCTCTAGGGAAATAGATACGTACTGTACTCAAGTCATGCAATGAAGTGGCTTGAGCAGTCTCCAGAGCCCGGGAGTCGGCTTCGGCAAAAGCATACAACAGAAAGACTGGTTGTAGATCAGACAAGCTATAACGAGCTTTCTTCTTATCCAGAACATCGTAGGATGAAAATTCTCAACGTAAGTTGAGTGAAACGTTTCTGGCAAAGTTATTGCTAGTAAACGCTTCCCGGAAGCCCTATTTGATGGCTCTTGGATTATTAGTGATTCGTTTCAAAAAATGAAGATACTACTGCCACTTTACAAACAACTATATGAAAAATTGGCTACGAGAAACATCGGTGAGATATCAGGACACGAAGAACCGAGACGGTTTTAGTTTTCGCTTACGAACGGACGGAAATACTACCTGACAGAGTGCCAATGTAGCGCTCTTACGACATTACAGCGAATGTGACTGATGGTGAGTGAGACAAGAATAATGAAAGCTAATTTAAAAACTTGACTAACCTGTGTACTCAGGAAAACAGCGCGTCAGTGGAGATCGCTTGATTTTCTCTTCGAAAAGATCTTTCTTATTCAAGAAAAGAATAATGGAAGTTTCCGTAAACCATTTGTTGTTGCAGATTGAATCGAACAACTTCATAGATTCTATCATGCGATTCTGAAATCGGATACATGGAAGCATATATATGCATATTTCGGAAGTGAAAGGATGGAATGCCAAATGCAAGCATAACGAAATTCGACTAACCATCTCGTCATCTTCAGCCAAGACCATATCGTATTCACTCATTGCAACACAGAAAATTATGGCTGTGACACCTTCAAAGCAGTGAATCCATTTTTTCCGCTCGCTCCGCTGTCCACCAACGTCAAACATTCTGGAATTCAAAAAAATTAGCAAAGATTAAAATAACGTGGTCTCGTATCGTGATCATTAGTACGCGTAAGCTAGCAGACAGCAAAAAGTTAATTGAAGGTAAGAAAGAGCGAAGACTGTCTGTTCTTACTTGAAATGCAAATCCTTGTACGTGAAGTGAGTCTCGACAATTCCAGTTGTTTTAACTCGAGTACGTAACACGTCATCCTTGAAACAGTGCCATTTCATTCATGTTAGACATACGAACAACTTGGTACAGAACCTGTGTGGGTATGTAGTTGGGTTGGGCGATTCGTTCCAGTGAATTGAGATAATATGGAGCAGAATCATTCAATTGATACTCGCGTGATCTGAAAAAAAGCCAAAGAATATCTGAAATTCTCGAGCTCATACTTGGATAGTTTTTAATAATGGTCAAAAGACGCACATAAAAGGAGAAAGAATGTTAGACACGTATACATAGATTGATGGTGTTTCTATTTCAGTTTCAATGAATCGAAAGTAGAAGAAAGCTTGCGCGTCGCATACCATCTTCTGCCCCGCCATCCATTGATTCACCTTAGATAAAGCTTCTTGGATTCTATCTGAGGATAACGGTGGTCATAACAGTTGGCAGATCAGGTGGCGAAGCTCATCCAAACTTTTCACTTACTAATTCCTATATTATCTGTGGCGCGTAAATCTACCCAATAGGAGTGCGGATATTTTGCTAATGAATTCGGGCATGCCACAGGCACGTTGATGTTGTCAGATTCAAATTTTGTTCCGTGAAAGCAAGAAAAAGAAAATTATGATAGCTATGGCTTGTTTTACTCGTGAGCGACATTCACTTGAAATGCCAGAATTACTACAATAAACCATGACTGTCACGAGAACCATTTGCCAGACTTGGGATTTGCTCTCGCTCGTGGAGGATAGAAAGGCAAGCTTACACAAATAATACGAGTGACTATTTTCCTTTTTGTGCTTGAATGATTAATTAATATAGTAACGGCAGTCGAAAATATAGAGAGGTATATCCCTTCGTCAAGTTTTGGTCGATGATTTGAAGAAACTGGCTTGCGAATCGTCTCAACACGACTGGAGTAGATTTGAAGGTCGATTTCTTAATGCGAATTACATCCATTGCACGCAGTTAGCGCATCAGTTGGACGTTAGTAATTAGAGATAAATATGAGTCATTCTTATAGATTAATAATCGTTCAGCAGAATAAAAGTCTGCATAACCATGACAACTGATCATTTCACGGCGATACATCCAACAGCAACATACAGGGGAATAAATTCACTCTCCCTCCACTTTCAAAACCCTACTTACACTTGCTTAATTCAAACTGAGTGCACCCAACTGCATTGAAGAGCACATTTCAACCTATCAGGCAGCTTCATTATAGTATTCTAAACTGACAGCATCGGAAAACTTTCCCACGTGGACGTGATGCACGGTTCGGATTCAACGAGGTCCTCAACGGATCGTGGACCTTTACGACGTTATCTGAAACGCTGGTCAAAAGCGGTCTTGCACAGTCAGAGCTACTGTCTCTAGGAAGCTATTCACCAGTTAACCGATTGAAGAAATTATGTAGCAGCTTCAGGCTGGAGCGATTACGGTAAGCCTCCTTGAGCTCGACGGTGACGGCAGATGACGTCATATTCTGAAGACGGTGGGGCAGTGAAGGAGGGCCTGCTTCTGCTTATGGGGGGACATCTAAGGAATATTTTGCCGTAAAACTTCATCAACAGCGGCACCCTGTGCGACGAAAAGTTTGATGATGTGCGCCATGGGCAAGTGACTTTTTTGCCACCTCTTGTATGTAGTGACCTAATAAAAATGGACATCTACATAGAAGTACACAGTTTTAGACATCTTTGAAAGATCGATTTTCCTCACAATGTGTTTTGCTTCAAATACCACCGAATTTCGTCGATTTCTTGCTTTAACACCATAAAACGGCCGGATACAGGGCTAAATCAGCGTCGAACGGTGCCAGAAAGGCTGTTGGGGAATGGATGGGATCTAAGGCTAAGAAAAGGAGGAAAGGTTTCGGGGTGAGCATTTCACGTCACCTGCACCAAAAGTTGGAGTGTGCGAGATCACAGTTGCTATGACGACTCACGAACAAGAGAGCAGGGAAGGGGAGTACCTTAATTCGGTTCTACTGACCGTACTCACCTAGTGACTTCCTCTAGCTTTTACTTTCTTATGATTCTATTTCCGATTGATTTATTGACCCTCTTAGGATGAAGAGAAGGAGGACCTAAGAGTAATCGAGTTCTACGACATCAAAAGAATACCGCCACATTCAAACCTATCAAGACGACCAATTTCATGGTAATTAAAGCAAGATGTCCGTCTTCAGAGCACATCAATGTTGCAAAATCTAGCCGTGATTTATTACATTGTAGAGAGAAAAGTGGGAAGGTCATCAACCGAAACATGACCTCTTTATCAATGAGTACCACTTTTGGCAACTCCACATAACAAAAATCCAAAGTTTGGAGAAGACATATATTCTATTTCCAGAGGAATTGATACACAAATGCTCAAATATCGGCGCTAATGAATCATTTGTGAACACGTTCAATGTTTGCATTTTCTTTTCATATCATAACACATTAAGAAGCAAATGAATGTGAGGACGAATCTGTTCAACATCACAAAAAGAAAAAGAGACACAGCAAAGCTTTGATAAAATTGCTAAGTTCAAGCTCATAATTATAATCTATTAATTTTCTGATCGACTTTTTGTGGTATGGTTACTACCATAAC